AAACGAACTTTCTAGGATTTCTAGAAGCTGAGATACACACCTTCAAAGTTTCGCAAGCTAGAGACGCAGACAACGAGACACACTGCGTCTCTAACCTCCCAAACTTCAAATAACTGTATATTAGCTCCTAGCCTAGAGAGTTGGTTTTTAGACAGAACTACAGGTACCTTTTTTTCTCGAATTTAGACCGATTCCAAGAGTCGGTAGCTAGGCTGTCAAGTTTCCAATCAATTTGAAAATTTTTGAGGGTGTAAAATAGACCTAAATTGAAAACTTTGCATTCACAGAATTTTTTGAAAATTCCTATTTTTGCCGATTTCTGAAAGACACCATTTTTCACGCTTTCAGTACATTACCGGGCCAAAAAATGTTGTGTATGCAAAGTTTTTAATCTACGTTTGTTTCACACCCTCCTACATTTTCAAGGTGATCTGAAACTTGACAGAGGAGCTCCAGACTTAAAAAATAGTCGAAATGACCGTAATTAATTCCAGTAAACTGTTTCTGCTTTGACTATTGGACCTGAACCCAAGACAAGCATTTTGTTTAAAATTGGTGATTTGTATGATATATCCAGGAGTCAAAGGAAACCGAAAATCGGCTCATAAATATTGCAAATCACTTGGGTCTTCCAAGTGAATCTAGCAACAGAATTCAATGATGACAAACCAAAGCTTAACTACGGTAATCTCTGAATACATTGCACCATTAATCAAGTGAAACTTCCGAATTCTTCGACTCTATTGATGATGACTCGATACATTCCTACTGGAACGGATTGATTACCGAAAATTCGACGTTGTATTGGGATCAGCCAAAAGGTCCGGTGATTCCCGAATTTTTCTTAACTTTCAGCATCTACCGCAGCACCTGCAATAGAACGGCCCACATACTGAACAGGTTGAGCTAAATTATATCGGCTCCTATGATAGACATCAAAAATATGTCAACAGATGAAATGTTTGTACCTATATGATAAGCAATTAAAAAAACTAAGATAAATTTGCCTTTTTCAGCTCGACCTTTTCTCCGACTCAATTAGCACATCAACTGGATGTGTGGCTGATGTCAAAGCTTCTGATGGATCTGTAAGTCATCGAAAAAAGCTTTGAACAGTCAGCAAATGATTTTCAGGTTACATGGACACCAATTAGCTGCTCGAACTCGTTCTACGTGAACCGTAACTATCCAATGGGCGTACCATCCTTTGGGAACATTGATCTAGAATTTTGGATTTTTTTGGAGATATCAATATGACTCACATTCCAAACACAATTCTGGTTCCCGTCAAAGATATCAAAAAGATGTCAACTAATAAATTGTTTACCATATAAGAAGTAGTGAATTTCAAAATTTTCAATTCTCGGAGGAAAAATCAAAAATGAATAAAATTTCTGTAATTTATCACAGAAAAATTTCAACTTCTGATAAATAGCATAATCGCTGGGTTTTTTATCAGAAATATTTTATTTCAACGTAACCACGGGAAATATGGTATTAATTACATTATTTTTGCTGATTTTCAGTTTTTTAATTTTTATGGTTTTTAGTTGGCTTTCAGAAAAGGAACACTTCAATTTTTGCAAAAATTTACGTGGTTCACAGAAAATATAACGTTTCAATTTCTGGGATTTTTCCCAGAATTCGAACGGTTCGAGTTTTGGGATTTTGGGGATATTCACGTGATTCACAGAATTCGAACGGTTCGAGTTCTGGGATTCCAAAAAAAGAGAAACGAATGTGGAAAAAGGGGGCATAAAAATTATAATGATGGGAGATAAAAAAAAAAGAAACATGAAGAAGTGTGCTAGTTTTCCATTATCATGTCATCCGTAACAACTGGATTCGGTGGCATTCTTCCAGCATTGAATCCTTGAGATTTCAAATATTGCAGAATCGTCGTGTGTTCAGTGTCAAAATCAATGTTTCCGTGAGATGGCGTGGTAGATGATGATTTTTCTTTGATAAGTTGCAACGTTCTTAGATAAGCTGCAAAACCAAAGATAATTCAAGTATTTAACTTTACGTACATTTCTTTCCATAGCTGGAAACTGAATCTTCAAAATTGTCCTTGTTGTTTTGCGAGAACATTGATCCTCCATGTTTGAAGAGAGCCAAGCATTTCTCCTGAACACCTTCAATACATGGACGGCGAATGTCAGGTTGGAATGTTGATGGATCATAGGTACCCTGAATGATCCAGTTTTTACTTGTATAAATTCACACGCAACATAGATATATATTCACACGCGACATAGATATTAGATTACACGTATCGAGATACGTGCCAAGAGCTGATTGGATTTTTTGTTGATTGGTTTCTGTTGTTCTAGAATTCCTCTGTTCTACAGATTTTTTCTAATATAATATAGACATGCTGTTCAAAAGCAAGATAAAAGATAAAGTAATATTTTCTACGGTTTCTCCTATGAATACATTGCCGAGGGCATTGAATAAATCACGGATGGCTGTTATTATTGACAAAAGCTTCCTGAAAAAAAAGAATTGGAAAGTTGTGAGTTCATATTGAGTCTCTTCAAACATGGAGGATCAATGTTCTCGCAAAACAACAAGGACAATTTTGAAGATTCAGTTTCCAGCTATGGAAAGAAATGTACGTAAAGTTGAATACTTGAATTATCTTTGGTTTTGCAGCTTATCTAAGAACGTTGCAACTTATCAAAGAAAAATCATCATCTACCACGCCATCTCACGGAAACATTGATTTTGACACTGAACACACGACGATTCTGCAATATTTGAAATCTCAAGGATTCAATGCTGGAAGAATGCCACCGAATCCAGTTGTTACGGATGACATGATAATGGAAAACTAGCACACTTCTTCATGTTTCTTTTGTTTTTATCTCCCATCATTATAATTTTTATGCCCCCTTTTTCCACATTCGTTTCTCTTTTTTTGGAATCCCAGAACTCGAACCGTTCGAATTCTGTGAATCACGTGAATATCCCCAAAATCCCAGAACTCGAACCGTTCGAATTCTGTGAATCACGTGAATATCCCCAAAATCCCAGAACTCGAACCGTTCGAATTCTGTGAATCACGTGAATATCCCCAAAATCCCAGAACTCGAACCGTTCGAATTCTGGGAAAAATCCCAGAAATTGAAACGTTATATTTCTGTGAACCATTTGTATTTTTAATAAATGATTATAATACGTATAAAATAGAAAGTATGAAAAGTTGAAAACAGAAATAATCGAACCTTGAAAAAAAGTCAGAAAATACCAGTTGCACAGTCTGATCGTTTGTTTTGTGAAAAAACACGCTTTTTTTCGCTCTGCAAAGAAAATGCGAAATTACTGAAACTTCACAGAAATTGTGGAAATCGAAGTGTTTTGTGATGAAAACTAAAAATTTTGAAATGCACTACTTCTTATATTATCAACAACATTTTATCAATTCACTAATTTTTTATATCTCTTACAGAAATCGAGACAATCGAGCTCAAGATTGAAAGTGAAAGTGAGCTCTTAAATTTTCAGATAGATTTGGAAATTTCCCGTTTTCTAACGCCTCAAAATCTACAATTTTTCCATGTACTGTATTCAACTTTCTCAATTTCTCAAATATTTTTCTTCAGAATATGTATACTCTCGTCTTCTCTAATCCACGTCATTTTCTCTTCTCACCGCCGTCGCCGCCGAAAAATCACCATGACAGTGGTGCCGGGTCGCCAAGCGATGCGAAGCCAATTCGGCTCGCCATCCCACTTTCCGACAACTTCACTTTCATTTTTTTTCCTTTTTTCCCTGTTTTTCAAGCTTCCTCCAGTTGAATTTTTTCAGATTATTGAGCAATTTTGAGCGAATTCTGTGGCTAACCCAGATGGAAAAGTTGTGGCTTTTTGTCTGGCTGATAGCCTTATCAGTAAGGTCAGCTACTGCTGCTCTCAGTTATCGAAATGAAAATGGGATTGCAAAGTTTCAAACGAACGATCCGGGAATCACTATCCAAGGAGTTACTAGGAATACCGATGGTTTTATACATGTCAAACTGGTTTGTGGCTTGAATCGGCTGAAAATTGGAAACAAAGATTCGGAAGATGTCAGCTTGGAATTGGTAGGCCTAAGGGATCCTATGGAATCGATAGTTGCAGAATTCCAGATTCATAATTGTATTGAAAGTGAGCAACGGCTGGTTGGTCTCTTTCTGAACTCGTCTTGGGCACCGTTGTCAGAGGTTAAAGATGACGATGAGGTGTCGATTCAAGTGGAGGCAAAATATAAAAAGTGTTATGGTAAGAATGATAAGAGACGCAGAGAAAACAGAGTGTATGATTTCTGTATACTCTCACCGGAGGCAAGGCTGGCCGGTACTGCATCCATTCGGTCGGGAAATTTAGCCGACCGACCGACCACTAACCCAGCCGACCGAATTTGTACATTTTTCCGTCAACATTCTAGACCTTTGGAGCTTTGGCTTTGTGAACTGAGTACGCAAACACTCGATGCGCAAATGCACGGATCGGCTATTAGTCGTCTAGAAAGGTCGGCTATTGGTCGGCTGGAAACCATATTGTTTTTAATTTCTGCATATGACCTCGTAGAGCATAAAATTACCAGTAAACCTGTCAAAATATCAAATTCTACGTTCCCTAGGAGTCGAGATACAGTGATTTGAAGCTTGGGAGATTAGAGACGCATTGTGTCTCATTGTCTACGTCTCTAGCGTGCGACACTTTTAAGGAGTGTATCTCAGCGTCTAGAAATCCTACAAAGTTGGTTTTTGGACAGATTTTAAGGAAATGTTTAGCCTAATCTTCTCCGAAGAGAAAAAAGGGGTACGCAAACACTTTCTACCATGTTGACGCGCAAATGAACTAATTCAGTCAGCTATAGATCAGCCAAAAACTTGATTCTGTCTTATTTTTTGCATATGACCTTGTAGAGCAAAAAAATTCCTGTAATTCTGTCGAAAAAAACATCTTTATAGGTTTTCTAGGAACCGAGATACAGTCATTTGAAGTTTGGGAGGTTAGAGACGCAGCGTGTCTCGTTGTCTGCGTCTCTAGCTTGCGAAACTTTTTCGAGGTGTATCTCAGTTTCTAAACTTTGTAGAAAGTCGTTTTTTGGACCGATTTCAAGGAAATTTTTAGCTTTAATGGCTCAAGTAACGGTCGGCCGTGACTTACAAGGGAACCATGTTTAGGCGTCATCTCAGAATTTTTTCTAAATTTGCTCATTTATAGTTTCAAATACGGGCTTTCTCGTGGTGTACTTGGTTTTCTGCGCAAATTCCTAGAAGTCGAGTTATGGGCTGTTTAAGTGATTTCAGTACTAATTTCTCACTTTGGAGTGAGTTTTTGAAAGGGTTAATGAGAGTTTTTCGGCATTTTTTGAGTGTGAATCGTACTTTTAGAAGTTTCTCTATAATCTGACAAAGTTTACTCATTTTCCAAAAAAATTTTATTTTTCGAAAAAAGTAGCCATGGGGGCTGTTTTCTGGTTAGAGGTCCCAAAAAAGAATAAAGGCCCCAAAAAAATTAGAGGTCCAAAAAAAGTTTAGAGGTCCCAACAAAAAATTGAGGTCCAAAACTTAAAATCGCACAGATGCTGGAATAATGTACTAGGATTTGAATTGTGTAGGAAGTTTAAGTTTAGGGATCTTTTAGAAAAATTATTGTTGATGATATATTTTATACTTCTAATAGGCTTAGGGATGCATACTTTCTGAAAATTATCTAAGCCTGAGAGATAGCATAATCACGGAGGCATTACTGCGTTGCCGAAATTTTCCTCATACGCAAATTTGGGTTCGTCAGCAAGATGCAAGAGAATTGGAGCTAAAACTGTCAGGAGCAGTCATATCATCCTATAAGACCCCGAAACTCAAACTACTCACATAGTTCGAATTCTAGTACATTATTCCAACATCTGGGCGATTTTCGAATTTCGGACCTCTATTTTTTTTGGGACCTCTAAACTTTTTTGGGACCTCTAAACTAGAAAAGAGCCGCCATGGGTACCCTTTGGCAAATTTTATAGTTTTTCGAAAAAATTTTAAATGTGCTTAAATGAACTGTAAACGCATAGAAATTATAAAATAAGTCTTTTCAGAAGATTCTGTAGCCTATATCCATTTTGAAATCCCAAATAACTGATTCCTTCCGAAACTTCAATGAATCGTTGTCCTTCGAAAATCACCCAATAGCACTCAAACCTTGTGAAAATATAGATTTATATACTTCTTGACAGATTTATGACGGTCCCGCAACCAATATGGTCAAATCGGGTGATTTCGACTGACATTTTGACTATTTATTGGATATTTTTCGAAACAAGTCCAAAATGATTTTTTCAATAAATCGCTTTTTTCCAGCTTTTTTCCTACTCAAATAATAGAGCAAACATAATTTTGATTTTTGAAAAATGCAAAGCATATCTCCAACACCGAAGAAAAAGAAGAAAAAAGAAAATGGACTATGACGGAATCGAACCCCAAACTTGTGATTACTATTCATCCCCACTATCCACTCGGCCACTGTTGCTCGTTTTTTCCACAGTGGAGAATGCATAGAGGAAAGGGGGCACAGTGGAAAGGAGTGGGGAGGAGGAGAAAAAGAAAAACAGCTTTTTTCAGATGGAATTTTCTCGACTTCTAGAAATTTGCGCAGAAAACCAAATACACCACGAGAAAGCCCGTATTCGAAACTATAACTGAGCAAATTTAGAAAAAATTCTGAGATGACGCCTAGACATGGTTCTCTTGTTAGGTCGTGAGTAGGTGGACCAGTCAATAGCGATTGGCACAACCTTGCCTGAGGGTAGACAGTCTGCGTCTCTTCCTACCTTCACACCGCCATATCCTCTTTTTTCAGAAAAGGGCAACGTCGACTCGTGCGACAACTCTCTTTGGTGGCTCCGAGTCGATGGATTCGAAACCGCTAAAATTGACACCTGGAAAAGTTGCGAGAGTGGAGACATTGAGTTTCTGAACCAACAACGGGTTTGTAGAAGACCATGTAAGTTGAAATCTAACACTTTATGAATTTCTTATAACAATGCTCAGATCAATCTCATCGATCCGATGCCATCAGCAATCAATATGGTGAATATTACGATGGACAAGTGTTGAAAGGGTATAAGGCCAAAAAGTTTGCCCTGGAGGTTGCCGGACAACAACTGGTACAAAGAAGACAAAAGAGAAACACTGTTCCCGACGATAAAAATGTCTGTGACTACACCATCGATTCAACTTCAACCTCAACCACAACTCCTAGTACTACCACTCCTACTACTACAGTCAAAACAGTGATGTCGCCTACGGGATCCACATCTACAGCTGCACAGAGTACTAGTACATCTAAAACAGCAAGCAGTAGCACGACCATGCTGAGCACATCAGTGAAGCCGAGCACAAGTACACTGAAACCCACCAGCACTGCTGTGCCAAGTATGTTTGAAACATTTTTCAGGGCACTTGATGTTTAAAAAAGAAGCAAAAATTCGAAAAAATTGAAAACTCGTTCGAAAAGTTTTGGTAAATTCTTTTGAGCTTGTAACAAACCTCAATTGGCGAGATTTTCAAAGGCAAACCTTCTTATATCTTTTCCAGCTACCGTCACCCCGTTGCCTGCCAACGCCATCTGCTCGTATCTTGACGAAACAACAACATCGACGACGTTCTCCACCACCATCACATCAACAACCACAGAGCCCTCGACTAGTACTGAATCCACTTCTGTGTCGACATCCCAATCAACCTCCACCCCATCCAGCTCAACAGTGACGACATCTACGACTGCTCCAACCTCAACAACCATAGTCTCTTCTTCTACATCAGCTCCCACGTCTACTGCCACTGTTACGACTCAAAGTTCATCAGTTTCGACTTCAACTGCAGTTCCACCCACCTCTACGACGATAACACCTTCGACATCTGCGTCGACGTCGGCATCGACATCTGCATCTACATCAGTTTCAACAATAGCTAGTACCTCCACACCTGCTCCGACGTCTACTGGTACTACAACTGGAACAACTTCAATATCTTCCAGTGCTTCAACTAGTTCCACTGGAGCTTCATCGTCTACTATTGTGGTTACTACACCTACTACTACAGTATCCACGAGTCAAGGCAGCACCACAACACCGTTAGACACCACTAATTTCAACTTTATAAATAAAGAACTCACTGTTGCTTATGGAGATGATACGGCGGATCTGCGCCTGGAAACCAATGTTTCTCCCGGGACGGTTTGTGAAGAATCTAAAAATAGTTTAACAAAATTAAAAATTTAAGTACACCACACAATGGATGTGCAAATCAGGCGATGGGGAGTATCAGCTAGCGAATGTCACCGGAGTCTGCTTTAAAAGTAGGAGGGGAGGGCTCACCATCAACTTCGAGCTCATATATCTCGTTTCCTGTGAAAGGTATTAAATATCTATCAAATGGTAAAATGTTGGTGAAATTATGATAAGCATTTTGTCAGTAGACGCATTTTTGATATCTGCTACAGGAATCGAGATAATTGAGCTGAAAGTTGAGAAAATAGCATTAATCGCATGTTAAATTATTTTTTTTTTCAGATTTTTACAACCCACCAGCTCTCGGTACTACTTTATCTGCTAGTTATTTTGCTGGACCCGGAACATATACATTCCTGGCAACGTTGATTAAAACCGATGGATCTCGCTATAACGCTACAATTGTTCTCACAATTGTTGGGACCACCACAGTTGGAAAATCCACTGTTACGTCGTCGGGAACATCAACAGACACTTCTACAAGGACGTCTTCAACTGCGCAATCGAGTTCGACATCTTCTGCTTCATCTACTACGTCTCCTATCACATTGTCTACTACTGTGGTCACTTCAACTCGTCCATTGACCTCTGCCACTTCCACGACACTTGTTTCTTCGAAAACTTCCAAAGATGTCACGACTTCTCAAGCAGATTCGGGAACTTCCACATCTTCTTCCTCTGAAACCTCTACAGATTCCTCCAGCACTTTATCAGATTCCGAGACTACCCCAACCACTGATTTTGACTTTATCCTGTCCAATGATCTAGCATGGAGCAAGACTGTCTATTTCACGGATACAGTAAACATTGAGCCAGTGCCCACGATCTCTTTGGCTACATATTATGTAAGTCTAAAATAATATAACAGCATAATATTTCTAATTTCAGCAAACTGTGACTTTCGAATGTCGGAGTGACGCTGGCGAGGAATTCGTAACTGTCAAACAATCCACATGTCTGAATCAAGAGCAACAGATCGTCAAAATGGCTTCGTTTTCTAGGAATATTAATTTGGAACCAGTTTCTGAATTTGTGATTGGCCTAGGGACTTTCGAGTTTCGAATCAATATGACCAATACACAAACCAAGCAGATGGCAAGTCATGTCTTCACGCTCAACGTGGTTGGAGAGACTTCCAGTACTGAAGAGGTCGGAACGACGACTATGGCTACTTTCACGACTTCTGAATCCTCTTCAACTGCAGAAAAATCCACCACTGGGATCGCTGAATCTACTTCAACCACATCCAATGACGGGTCGGACTCTTCAACAACAACTTCCGTTGACTCAGAATCTTCTACAACGTCCGCTTCTGACAAGTCTGGAGATTCCTCCACGACACCTTCTGACTCATCTGATTCATCCACCACTATTGATCCGAACTCATTGTCCACCACCATTGATCCAGATGCCACCACGCCCATCCCATACGATTTCATTCTCACGGATTTGTCTTGGAACGAGACCATCACCTATTCAGAAGATCCGCTCACAATTTCACCAGTGCCGAATAAGAATCCGGGACTCATAGAAGTAATCTAGAACTTTAAGTAGACACAAAAGATAGATTTTTCAGACTGCAATAACCTATCAATGCCGAAACGACTCGTCGAAACCATTTGTGACATTGAAAGAGAGTGATTGTTTGACTGATAGTGAGTTTTTTAGCTTGAACACTAAGATTCTTGCATATGACCTTGTAGAGCAGAAAATTTCCTGTAAATCTGTCAAAAAACCAACGTTCTAGGCCTTCTAGGAGCCGAGATACAGTCATTTGAAGTTCGGGAGGTTAGAGACCCAGTGTGTCTCGTCGTCTGCGTCTCTAGCTATCAAACTTTAAAATCGATGTATCTCGGCTCCAAGAAGAGCTAGAGCGATGAAAATTGAATAGAACGGTGTGAAATTTTATGGAGCATTTTTCTCCCCGTAGGAA